CTGCTTTAAGTGTTTCTTCTCCAGTGGCTACAGCGCTTCACAGCTTCCCCGGTTTTCCCCAGGCAAGGACTGAGTTTTTTAATATTGTCCCTTACTTTGTTTCATTTCTCACTTCCATCTTCTTTCATCTCATCAATAAACACACGCTGCAGCCTACCTTCGGAGAGGACATCACGCAGCTCACTCGTGCCCTCCCATTTTTTCACTATTCGTCGAAGATTTTGGGCAGCCACGCCTTTCTACTGGCGATTGGAACAGAATGGACTTTCTTGAAGCACGTAGGTTGTGATATAAATCGTTCAACATGACTTTACCCCAATCGGTGAGCCGCACGCCCTCCCTTCAGCGCGGCGAGGAACGTTGAAACTGGCTCCATTGTGGCTCTGAAAGTGAAACTATTCTGCCTTATCGCAATTGTTGTGTTTGAACCAGCATGGACACTGTGCATCCTCAGTTTCTTAATTATCGGTCACTGTACAAGTGCACCGTTTTCCGTTGAGTATTTCGATGCGTTTGTTGTGGTCCCCTTTTGAGGAGTTTCTGCTTGTACGCGCTGCTTCTTAAGCATAAACAAATGCATACATTGCAAAGACATTGATGTTATTTGGTGTTATGAGCGCGAATTAAACTCCTTGAAATCTATGTCCCATCCTCGATCAAAAGGCCAGTCATCCGAGAATCCTGCATGTTAATCAGTTATAGATAGCCTACTTTAGATTGGTTAGGGACGATGTCAATAAATTTCTCAAAATCATATCTGGTCCCACATTGGACGATGACGCTGCCTGTCAGTTGGAAGACCAACAAGCTAGATTGTTCACCGTGCCTTTTACTTTCTACGCATTTCTATTTTCTCATTTATTTATTTTTTAACGTCCCTAGCTGACCTCAAGGAAACGTAAGGAGAGTTGCTGACGGTATTGCTGGCCAATCAGATCGTGAAAAGTGACACCGAACTTTTTTCTTCACCAATACGTTCACAGAGCCGTTGTGACTGACACAAAATAATGCAATAGTGGCTCACGAGTCCCCAGCTACACTGAGCACCCCCTCCCGCGACTCCCCCCAGTCTAGACAATGACAGGTGTGTGCGTGCGCGCGCGCGCGGTCGTCTGTAGTCTAGACGAGGAATAATCAACCTTCGAGCCTAAGTGATTTTTTTCAGGCGCGCTGCTTTATATATATATATATATGTGTGTGTGTGTGTGTGTGTGTGTGTGTGTACAATCCTTCAAACGATTGATCGTGTTATGATAGCAGTGAACAGTGAATCTTGAATATCGTGTCCGGATATTGGCAGCGATGTAATTATAATTTAGGATGTCCCACTCAGATTTCGTGATGTCAAAAATCAAAAGAGACACATTTACAAACAATAAGCCATTTCTTGCGTATATATTCTATATTATTTTGTTAAAAGCTGTTCGACCTTGGCTCTCGTAAATATTTCGTCACATGTAACAATCCCTCGTGTGTGTGTGTGTGTGTGTGTGTGTGTGTGTGTACAATCCTTCAAACGATTGATCGTGTTATGATAGCAGTGAACAGTGAATCTTGAATATCGTGTCCGGATATTGGCAGCGATGTAATTATAATTTAGGATGTCCCACTCAGATTTCGTGATGTCAAAAATCAAAAGAGACACATTTACAAACAATAAGCCATTTCTTGCGTATATATTCTATATTATTTTGTTAAAAGCTGTTCGACCTTGGCTCTCGTAAATATTTCGTCACATGTAACAATCCCTCGCCTCCATAATATCATTCCTCTTAGTATGAGATTTCCGGTTTGGCTGCACGCTTTTCTTGATATTGAGTTCCCCCTTTCGGTTATAAATATGAACAGCAACGTTTAACCGAGAGGTTCACCGGGGGACACGCACACCGTCTGCCCTACATAAAATGCACCCATTGTAGGCCGAGGTGTCAGCTGAGGACGACTTGCAACCTAGAAACGGCGGTTTGGCCCCTCCTTCCCTTTGTCAGTCCTATTGTAAACGTTAGTCCGGGGTCTTCTGAGGTATTCTTTTTTCCAAAAACAGATACTAAAAATGGCATTAACTGCAGAAGAGGCGTTTCAACCATGCGAACGGAGTTTTCGTCTTTTCCAACAAACCTTTTTGAGACCCCTCACGATTTTATCAAAGGCGCTGTCCCGGGGAACTGTGCCCAATGACATCATCCCCGCCTTTTGTATACAGTTGCTAGGGGTTACAGGGTGACATTTCAAACAGTCCTGCTCTAGATGTGTTCGGGATACGCGGTCCAATTTCTGTATTAACACAAAACGGACTAAAGACAAAGTTTGGTATTTATTTTGAGCAGATGTAATGCACTTGAAATCCTTTCTTAAAGAGCGAACGCTAACTAGGCTATTTGAGTAATAATACTGCGAGAAAGTACACTTCGCTACTTACCTTTTGTGTATATCGTTTTTTTGTAGGCTATACTACAACAGTATACGTTAAACTTTCAAACTTTGGGAGATGGCAGATTCTGGTCTATCAGAAAAAGCACTTATCACCGAGAGTGCAGAGACCATCCGTACTACCTCAGTGTTCACGGACCCTTATGAACGCTCTGTTAACTATATGGAGACTCACAGTATTCTTCAGATTTTTCAGGTGAGAAAGAACAAAGCAGCAGTTACTGATATATTTTCTTACGAAGAAAATGGGAGACAGTGATGAATTGCTTAGCACAAAATGGCGAAGGACAATTCAGAGCACTAATAGCAGTAAAAAAAAAAATGGCTTAGCATGCTAATATTGCATTATTCCGGTTTATTTAATAAAACTACATATTGTTTTATGAGTATTACGAAAACAAAAAAAGAGCTCTGACTAACTACCAATGTCATTTTAGCAGCAAAAGAAACATTTTGGTGCTTGAGACATCCAGGACAAAAAAAAAGATTCTTCATTGTATTTTTCACTCATAGTCTCATTTGTGCTATTTCAGGACATCACAGAGAAACTGGTTTTTGATAGACCAGACGATCCACTTCAGTTCATGTTAGAACAGGTATTTTTAATCAGATTTTTTTTGTACTTTCCAACACATTGTCATTATATAGATTATTTTATATATCCAAAATCTTGGATATATAATGGGACATTTATGGGAAATTGTGGGTTTTTCATGAATAATTCTTGCTGAAAGTATATTGGAAAGGCATAGGCTAGGACCTGAACTATTGGTGATCAATACACTTTCTGATTTAAGAGAAAGAGCTTGTGAAATATATTGCATACTGTTTTACCTGGCCCTATAAACAGGTTTAATTTTTTAAATAAATTATGTTTAATAATAAGAAGTGACATTTTTGAATAGCTATAAAACATCCTAATCACAGTTGATTTTACAAAAACTTTTGCAGGTGCAAATGAAGATCAAAATCCGCGATGAGTCAAGCAACACATTTGTGAAATCATAATGAATTCTAAAGCAAAGTAACAAGGGCTTGTGCAACAAATTGAATCCAAGTTTATTCTTTTATTTATATATTTATTTAAATAAGGTGTATTAATTGCTGCAGGTCATTCCGTGACTCTGCATTATTGTTTCCAAGCAACTGTCTTCAGATTTTTTTTTTCTCCAAATTTACCTTCTTTTGTCACAATTTTTAGACGGTATTAGCATTCATTTTCAGTCAAACAGCGCTAAAATCGTAATAATGTAGTTCGTGAGTTATCTTTGACCTACATATCTCAATGAACGCACTCAAGTGGCAAGTTAGAGCTATTAAATGTGGGAAAAAATTTTTTTTTAAAAACATTTAACAAAGGAATTACTGACAGGCTTTCTCTGGATTTTGGAGACACAGAATCTGAGAATTATATTTCTCAGATCGTTACTGTTTTATGAATTAACTATGTTTTATAAGATAAAACAACTTCTGTATAAGACATAAGACATGAATGTATAAGACATTATGCAAGTCTTCTCCAAAATAAATAAATCAATAAAATGCTAGCTAGACAAATGTAGCTGGCTTTTGCGCTGTACTTGAATTTCAATGGTGGAGTTTGGCTGCACAAGTAAAGGAAGTGTTTGTTTATAGTAGGGTCTTATTACAGTGTATTTCTATAGTTATCTACTGTATATTTACTCTAGTGCAACATCTGGTGTTTCAAGACCGGTGTATCACATGCAGTCATTTCATTTGTAAATAAAAAATAAGTTCAAAATATCTTCACAGTTACATTGTCTATTTTCATTTATTTTTGTTTTATATATATATATATATATATATATATATAAATAAACTCCCATTTGTGTGTAATGAGATATGTCAATGAGAAAACTAAGACTATCACATGATCATAGAAAGTCAGACACTTATTCAGTTTGACTTATGACATATTCAGGGTATATATAATTTTTTTCCTTTTAGCTTTGGGGTAAAAGTGTGTCAGTGGCTTATCTAGTAATAATTGAGCTTCTATGGGAAATGCTATAACTACAGCAAATACTCTTAAAATGTTGAAAATTGTTTCACTATAAATATTAAGAATATTAAAGTATTTCCTAGCTAGTTTATGAAAATGTGAATATTGTTCTGCAACATAACATGAACATGATTCTTATTCTCATAGACAGTATGCCCACTGTTTAATTTCAAATGTAAATTGTTCTATATTCCCCAGTGACTCAACTTACCCTTGACATGACACAGCTACAACATGAGGCAAGTTGGGTCCCTGGACCACTTTACTTATGTACTAGTTATGTTATATACATTTTATATAATTATACATTTCTGTGACCCTATATTATAGATGATTGCTTCTATTTTTTATGATTTATATTTGACTAATAGACAACTGTAAGTGGCACAACTTACCCTGGATATGTAGGAACTACTTTATTCTTATCTTACCTGTATTACAGAAAATTAAGCAAATAGGAATATGCATTATAAATGACATTAGAATTTTAAACAATTCTATACTGAAATAACTTCATTTGTCATTTGAAATGCTTAAGTGTGTCACAGTGTGCACATTACATGTGAAATACTTTTATTATTTTGTTTAGAATAGTATACATACAATAAATCCAATTTTATTGAATACAAAAAGAGCATTTTACAAGGTTAGTGTTGTCCGATTACACAACTGACAACGTCATCATCATGATCTTTCATCCTTGTCTCTGCCTTTCTTCAGAATACATTGTCAAAACTTCTCTGCTTTACGGTTTATATAAAACATGGACGTTTTTTTATATTCTTATTTTTTGAAACCTCAGTATCTTTTTTTCATACATTTCTGTTAACCAAGTAATCAGGAGATTTGAAAATATATAAAAATGTATCTACAAAAGAGAGAACACAGCTTGAAACAATATTTGAATTATTCAAGAACATTGACCTTTAAACTATCTTCAAACCACAGGACATTTACTCTAAACATTTGTACAAATTGATTTTTACTCTTTATGGACTTACAGAAGTACAGATTTGTATGACAATGACAAAACAAGACAATATGGAATAAATAAAAAATGTTTTTTTTTTTTTTTAACTGCTTTTTTTTTTTTTCTTATCATGCGGATTTGTATATAATTTATAAATGACTCCAATTGTAAACAAAATATTTCCGATCATGATAAAGTAATAACAGACACTAAGACCTTGAGTTCCACATGAAGGGAATGAAGTCACTTTAAACATAGACATTATCCTTATCAGCAGCATTTTACACAAAGCTTAATACTTACAAATCTGTATTATCAGGATTAACGGCACCTTGATTTCCAAGCATCATTGTGTGTTTCTAGGTATACTGACACTCGGTAACAATTAATAAGCAAGAGGTTTGCTAGTTATTGCATGATGGCCAGTAATGGATCAGTCTTATCTCATTCAATTTGCCTGTTACTTCTGTTGTCGAAAATCATTGACCTCCTTTGTGGCTGGTAAAAGCAACTGGTTGAGGTCTCAAGCCTTTGTCCACTCTTTGGCAAAGTCATTTTATTACGCAAGGTTACCCCCTCAGTAGTTTTGAGGTTTTCCGCTAGTTCATTTGAATAGACGTCAAATGGTGATGCTTCGGTTTTAATAGGAGATAGGACTAGTTTACCATCATCCCCTACTGGAGGGTAGTCCATGATTGGAAATGGAGGGCTGAACAGGATGAGACTTTGAGGTCTTGGACGATTTCTGAAGGACGATCTCTGAAGAAGCGATGAGCGCTCAGGTCTAGGACGATCCATAAATGTGTCCCCATTTGCAGATCGCTTCCTTCTCAACACTGGAAGGTCTGGAATGGAGGTTGGTTTGTAATTCTCATTGCATGTTGCATTGCTCATAGGAATCTGTCTTTGGACCGCTGATGGTGGTTCACTGCTTGGCACATCCTCCCTGTGAACTGTCTGGAGGGGAAGTGCAGAACCTGCGTTTCCCAACTTGCTCTTAGTAGGTTTCTTTTCAGATGTACTTTTATTGACTTGATCAGTGCTCCCCTCAGGTAGAGCATGAGGTATGTGGCTATACTGAATTTTTGGTGGAATAACAGGAACAGCTTTAGCTTTGCAAGTTTTGATCATGAATGCAGTACGAACTGATGTCACACTAACTGGTGCCGAGTTGCGTCGCACAGGGGCCTTGGAGCCACTGAGGAATAGCTCCAACTCTAGAGATGAGCTACCATGCTTGGCTTCAGGTGTCAACCATTCCTGTGCATTTGAATGTTTTGCACTTTTCAGATACTGACTATTTGAAATGTCTCTGATGCCTTGGTGTCCTAAATCAAGGTTAAGGGAGCATGGCCTGAGTTTGGATTTAATGTTTTCATGACTTCTCTCCACAATGCAGGACTCATTGGATGTTTGTCGATGAAACCTCTGAGATGGAGAAGAGCGTTTCTGTTTTGCTTTGCTCATGTTTTGCAGTCCAGTAGTCTCATCTGGATCGGTGAATGTCTTCAATATCTTAACCTGTGGAATCTCCAGTTTTCTGCTGTCTTTGTCTCCCATCCACTTGAGGTTATCACTGTCAAAATGCTCTGTTATCTGTGCAAAACAAGCTACATCTGTGCCTGTATTTTTGTTTCCTTTTGGGAAGTCAGAGTTTCCAAGTTCACAGGCGGCTGTCACAGCAGCCTCTGTTTGAGATGATGTAATGTCATTAAGCACAGCTGGTTCTTTAGCTTCAGCCTTCTTGCTGTTGGGGAAGTCATCCACTTTTGGATTGTCAAGAACTTGGCTGTGAATTGCTTGACATGGCATGGTCTCTCTTGGCATAGGTAAGTGATCCTCAAGTTTTGGTGAGTGCAGAGGGCTGGTTACCCACTGCTTGGCAGAACATAAGTCCTCCCATGGTTCAACCTGATCCAAGCCACCCAAATGACTCCCCCATGTGTCTACATCATCTTGATAAAAACTTTCCAGTGTGTGGTGATGTTCATTCAGACAAGTCGAGAGTCTTTCCCAACTTCCCTTGATTCTTTCTGCTAAGTCAAGTTTCTGGGGTTCATCACTAACCTCCTTATTTTCTTTTTCACAAATGTCCTTTGATACAAATGGTTCTTTTGTATCAGATTGAAGAGATGTGTGAACATGCAATTTTGCATAGATGCTTGAATTATCTGACAAGTTACTTTTGGAAGTGTTGTCTTTCTTACCAGGATCTGTTCTTAGTTCCTCTTCACTGCATGGTTCTGCATCTTGGAGAATATCTGTTTCCTTTAGGTGTAGAAATGGGGAAAGTTCTAGATTGGTTGTTATTATGGTTTGCAACCCTAAGCTTTTGTGGTCTGTCCTGTCAACATCATTATCCAAGTAATTCCAGCTACCATCACATGACAGCAATCTTTCAGGGAAATGTTTCATGACAGAATTAAACGTAGTAACACCAGAATGATCAAACATTACATTTTTGGTAAGGTCTATAAAGAGTCCCTTTGATGTTGCAGTGTTGGTAGGCAAACTACTTCTTCTCTGTGTTTGGGCACTTAGCTTGCAAGTGTCATCATTTCCAGTAATATTGGTGAAGCTGGGCTTTACCTGTTTATCTGGCATGTTTGTTTTAGCCTCAGTGACTGAACCTTTTTGATGCATGCCAGATGATGGCACCTTTTTGATTACTTCCTGTGAAACACAAAGAAAGAACCAAAATGAGAAAAAAGTGGGGTCTGGTTACAGACATTTGTTCCAATAATATTTCCAAGGTCAAAATTATGTCTTTTCAAGACAGTAGTTCAATAGTTTAAATAGTTATAAATTCTGACTTTATTCCTATTAGGAGTGAATGGACTTGAATAGAATATATATCACTATTTCATATTTTTTTCTTGGGAGTTAGTAATAGTACAGTGGTTCTTAATTTTCAAGGCCCTTCATTGTCCATTGTGCCTCCCACCCCCTGCTTTTAAAATGTATATTACATTAAAAGTGGGGGGTGGGTGGCTCAATGGACAATGAATGGCCTTGAAAGTTAAGAACCACTGTACTATTACTAAATCCTAAGATAAAATATGAAATAGTGATATATCTATCCCGCATTTTTCATTTCACTGCCGAAACAGTGTATGTTTTAGTCTATTGGCCGAGACTGATTTTAACTAAACCCATAAATGTATGATCAGGAAATATTCCCGTGTCCCCCTCTCTCATAGCTACAAGGTGTGAGTAGAAAGGTCTCATCATTTTGAGGTAAATGTGTTCAAATGTCTGAAAAATCTGTGTGTAACTTTAAAGAACGTCACTACCGAACACCTTTTTTCTGCAATTAAGCACACTTTTTTGGGAGTTATTCCATAACATTTAGTTTTTATATGTATACCACTGTTCAGAACTGTGCTAGCTAAACCATGCGCTGATTAGCATCTTTGAACTAAGTTCAAAAGTATCTAAAAATGTCACTACCGAAACAGTCACTACTGAAATATTTGGTGGAGTTTCGGTAGTGACATCTTTGGTTTTCTGGTCCCATAGAATTGTCACTACCGAAACAGTCACTGTTTCAAGCAACAATAATAGCACAACGTATCTCTTGATGTCTGATGAAAGCCCTATAGATGGCCAAAGCATCATGAAGTTCAAACCCTATTTTCACCTATAGAATGAGTATTTCAGTGACAAAAGGGAACACATAACCCTCATATTTCGGGGAAATAAACAAAATGTTAGTACATTTATGCATTTTTTTGTATTTTAGTATGTTTTAGTAGTGTTTTAGTATGTGAGTTAAAATTCTGTAATGTGATGTGGTTGCTACCAAAGCATTACTGTCACTACCGAAAAAGTGCTGTCACTACCAAAACATGGGATGTTTTGTCAGAAATAAAGTATACTGAATTATCAACATTATCAGATGTAAGCAAAGTCTTAATAGGTCAATATGACCCTTCTAAATCGAATTAAATTATTATTACTGTGTTTCAGTAGGGACTAATTTGGGGAGAGAACAAATATTCCAAAACTTTCTGAAAATACAATATGAGAATTAACAATTATTAGAAATGTGTACCTTGGATATTATACAATTTGCAGTTTTTTTGGAAAAAATTTTCAAGACGTTTCCAACTCTGACTCTATATATCAATCACTATTTCATATTTTATCTTGGGGCTTAGTAATAGTACAGTGTTTCTTAACTTTCAAGGCCCTTCTTTGGCCATTGTGCCACCCACCCCCGACATTTAATGTAATATACATTTTAATATATTAAATTTTAAGTCATCCTGCGGCCCCCTTGGACATTTTCTGAGGCTTCCAAGTGGGTACCATTGGGAACCATTGTACTACTAGTATTTCAGTCTTATTAAAAATACAGGGGTACAATTCCATGTGTTTTATCAATTCAAATCATACCAGTTTGTCCAATTTTGCCATATCTTGTTGCATTGATGTAGTTTCCAGTTCTTCCTTAATTTCTTTAGTCTCAGATGACACCTGAGGTTCAAAATTCTCCACACTGGCTATCAGCTCTCTCACTACTGCATCCTTGCCTGAGAGGATTCAGAGAAATCAATATAATATTATCAGTTAGGGTAGTAGAATTAAAGGTGCAATGTGTGATTTCTGCGGCAGTAGCATCACCAGACAGAATTGCAAAAATAATGTGATTCCCGAACACTTCCCCCAATCTGCCATTACTGAGAAATCTAGTCCCTGCTCAAACACACATACCATTGGTTGATTTAAAACAAAGCAATGTCTGAAAACAGCACGGTATTTACAACCTTACACACTTCACCTTTACGTTATTGCTTCAGAAATGTAGTTTTGAATTATCTTATACTTTATGTGATTGCTCAGTAAATCTGATAATATATGATAATTAAAGAGTATGTCAGTGATTAACTTTTTTTTTTTTTTGTATCATTGACATTTAATCAACTTGCAAATGCAAATTTGATTTGAATTATTTTGTACTTTATGTGACTGCTCAATGCTCAGTAAATCTGATAATATATGATAATGAAAGAGTATGTCAGTGATTAACTTTGTTTTTTCAAAAGAAAAAGATTTAAAATAATTCTCACTAAATGAAAATATACTTTCATGTTCACACACACACGCACACACACTACAATCGTCATACTCTTTGTTGTCCCCAGAGTGAGCGCGTCTGTAGTATCTCTTTCCCCAGTCTGATCCTCATTTTCCACGGGGAAAGAGCTGCTGTTGCTATAGATACTGCATCCGCTGCCTCCACTGCTGTCACTGAGCGGGTTCTCTCTGTACCCAGTACTGCTGGTGTGACCTGCTAGTCCAGTCTCCCAGTCTGTGAACGTAAAGTTCCCACTGCCGCCACTGCTGGGTACTCGCAATCCAGCAGTGCCAATACTTTCACTGCGATGGGGTTCCAGAGGCCCAGCCTCCTTAGTGGGCTTAAAGAGTCCCCCCAAACCCCTGTCCCGCTCTTTCCCTGGTGCCCTGCAGGGGGTGCTGTTAGAGTTAATAACTGCAGACACACGCAAAGGTACAGACACTGCAAAGGGTTCAGAAATGTTGAGGGCCTTTCGTTGGTGCCGCGGCGATGACTCCAGCGGAAAGAGGCTGCCTGGAAAAGACGGTCTAGATCCATTACTGGCAGATCCAGAATACAACATCCGACGGTTTTTGGGAGATGTGGGCTGGCAGCCGCTGCGGTCATCACCTTTGAAAACTTTCAGCTGTTCTGGAAGAGCTTTCTGCAGTGGGGATAAAGATGGAGATGAAGAGGAGGCATTTGATGCTCCTTCTCTTTTCTCATTCAGGGATCCTCCTGATGCAGTATGAGGATCTAAGTCCCATTTTTGATCCTTCTTGTTCAGATTGTAGTCGATATCTGAGCCCAGGGTTTGGGATTTTAGAGCTGGGATAAAGATGCCATTGCTTCCTTCTGTTGGTGCTTTGTCCTCATCTGAATGGGAATGAAAAAAAGAAAACTTGTGGTGACACCTAAAAGCCACAAATTTACAGTGGCCACAAAAAGTGTTTTCACTCTTTAGCCAAAGATAAAAATGTATGAATGTGTTTGTATGATATAACACAATATTAAGCAATTTTTAGTAGAATTAATCATTTTGTATACATTCTGTAATTAATTTTTTTCCCATAGGCCATGTGTCAGGCTAATATCTTAATTAATTTGTTGATGTAGCAGTTTTTTTTTCTTTGATAAGAAATAATTTTTTTTTTAATATGTAATGTATCTTTATATAAATATATACTTGTATAAATTTATTATATATTAAAAATTTTTAAATCTTTTTAGGAAAAAAAGAGAAAAACTCCAAAATGACAGCATAGTAAAGTAAGTATACTGTAGATATGGAGATCTATAGCCCCACCTGCTGCCTGAAAGGAACAGAGAGAGTCCATGCTTTTGGATGGCCTTATAGCAGGTTTTTCTGTTTAAAAAGAGAGAAAACAAGCATAAAACTTGGCATGCTATTTGTTATTCTTCTTTACTCTGCACTGAAAACTTTGGACTAAATTAAAAGAAAAATACTGTAATGTGTTACAGTAAAATGTATTAGTTTTTCTCAAATTGTAGATAGTGTTTTGGTTCAAACTTCAAATTTTGAAGTAATATTAATAAAATATATTTATTTTCCCAATGCCGAAAACATTCATACAAAGTAAAAATATTTTTTTATTGTAAACAATACCATATTTAATCAATTTCTTTAGACATAACCCGAAATGTTACTTTATTTTATTGCTTTTAACTTACTGTAATTCATCATTATTATGGTGATGCCTTTTTAAAATATGCATCATGATTTCTGACTCTAGCAACAAGTAAAAATACTATTTAAGTTAAAAAAAAAATCTTAAATTTTTTTCTGTTTTTGCAGAAACAGACCAATATGAACATGCATTTAATTAAATGACAGTCATTCAGTGTTTTACCGTAAGCAATACTCATTCTCTTGGTGAAAATAGGGTTTGAACGTCATGATGCTTTGGTCATCTATTGAGCTTTCATCAGACATCAAGAGCAGTCATCAGACATCAAGAGCAACGTTGTGCTATTATTGTTCTGATGTCTGATGTACAGTAGGTGGCCTGAAATGTCATGATGTGGCATTTTAAAGTGCCCCTATTTTGGGTGATGGAAGGTTCATATTTTGGTTTTGGGAGGCCCCAACAACAGGTTGACATGCATGCAAGGTCAAAAAACACTTTCATTGTCTTATAATATGCATTTATTTTTTACCTTACTTGCTTAAGACTCCCAAACGATTCGCTCAAGGATTCATTTTTCCAAACCCCTCCTTTGCGTGATGCTAATCTGCGGTGATTGGTCCGACTGGTCTTATTTTCATTTCATTTCGTGCCTGTAATGCCTGATAAAGCAGCGTTTGTGAGCGCAGTGCTGCTTTGTGTACAGCATTACCTGGGAAACCGCTATTTTTACCGCTCCAACTGCGGCACCTAGTGGCAAAGAATGAATTTGCATCTTCATTCAGACCAACGTGAAAAGACCAACAAGTGGACGAGCAATATGCTAATGTTCATGTTTTTAAAACCACTAGTTTCAATGATTCAGAGTCGACTCTTTCTTTTGAGAGACAATAACTTTATACACTTGCACTTTCAGATTTAAAACTTTGCAGGATGTTTTCATTCACTTTGTTAGCTGTGTTACACACTGCATGAAAGGTACTTTTCACAAATCCATAATAGGGGCACTTTAATTTCTGGCTGCACCAACTCTTTTGGTTTTCACTTTTTTGGGAACTTTTGTTTCTAGACAATAGAAAGTTTATTTCTTTCTCTGTCTCTGTCTCTTTCTTACCTGAGGGATTTTGACCTCTCATAAACACACTCCCATTGTGACTCAGTTTCCCTTTAGAGTCGATTACAGATCGTCCAAGACTGAAGATGGACTTCCACTTCTTAGATTTTCCTGAGAATTTTCTTCTATATTGTGAGAAGGTTAATGCATGTTTGACAGGGTAATGAAAATGTTGAAATGTAAAAAAATGAAATAAAATAAAAAATGTTTTAGATATGTTGTTTTCTGGGTCAAGCAATACTGAATTAAATATTGAGTGTGTGTAGGTTTGCATAAATCACACCTGCTGTCCGACAGATCTATTACTGTATGATACATTGCAGCAGTGCTGGTATCTGGAAGGCTGTTCTCTCTTTGCCTCTCTCTCATTGCTGGGTGGTTGGGACTAAGAGAGCGAGCCTGCGCCTCTTCGAGACTCATGAGCTTCATGGGGCCACACTGCGTGCTGGCAGGCAAGGTGGCGTACTTCTCCCCACAGGCCATGCTAGGGCCTACAAAACCATAAAAACAAGTTAGATGTATCATGTCTTGAGAGTAACATACTGTACACTGCATCACTAAAAGAGACCAAAACCTCATTCTATCAGTATATGAAGAGTTCAGATGCAAAAGCCTCCAAGTTGCGTTTGAAATTTTCTTCTAAAATTAGCATTTTTCTCAGGCTCCGATGTTTACGTTCAGTTATTTCACTTTAATGGCAATGAAAAGAACCTATTCATTGCCATTAAAGTAAAATTTCTGAACCTACACACAGGAGCCTGATAAAACTATAAATAAATAAAATATAAAATTTCAAACGGCACTTAGAGGCTTTTGCATCTGAAATCCTATTTTCACTCTGCAGTCTGCACACATGTTTCTTAATGTATTTTCATTCAGTGCTATTTTAGTATTACTACTTTTTATGAATATTTTTGTTTTATATTTTCAGTCTTCATTTTAATTTTAGTTAGACTTTTAGCAATTTTGTTGTGTATTTGCCTTTTTTGTATTACTATTTAGGTTCAATTTATTTATTTATTTATGTATTTATTTTTGTTGTTTTACAACCCCATTTCCAGAAAAGTACAACCTGTTTAACTAACAAAAATTCAAATAAAAGATCTCCATTGACCAACTTAATTGTATTTTTTAAATAAATACATTATGATTTTAATGGCTACAACACACTCCAAAAAAGTTGGGACAGAGGCATGTTTACAACTGTGTAACATCAACTTTCCTTTTAATGACACTTTTTAATCACTTTTGAACTGCAAACTTGCAAGTGGAATATTTGCCCAATTTTGCTTGATACAAGACTTCAGCTGCTCAACAGTCTGTGGTCGTCGTTGTCTGATTCTCCTTTTCATGACGCACCATATATTTTCAATAGCAGACAGATCTGGACTGTAGGCAGGCCAGTCAAGTGCATTCACTCTGTGTCTACGAAACCACACGGTTGTTGCATTTGCAGAATGAAGCTTGGCATTGTCTCGCTGTAATAACCATGGACTTTCCAGGAAAATATGTCATTTTGATGGCAGCATATGTCTCTGTACAGTCCCTATATGCCTGTACCAATGGTACCTTCACACATATGCAAGTCATCCATGCCATGGAAACTAATGTTCTGGAGCTACTATGACAGATGTTGGCTTGTGCACCTGATAAAAGTCTGGATGGTCCCTGTCTTTGACATGTAGAACTCAATGTCTGTTTTTCCCAAATACAAACTGAAATGTGAACTTGTCTGACCACAGCACACATTTCCACTGGCTTTCAGACCATCTGAGATGAGCTTGGGCCCAGAGAACTTGACAGCTTCTCTGGGTAGAATTGATGTACTGCTTTCACCTTCCCTAACAGAGATTATGGTCGCATTTCTTGATGCAACGATGGACTGTGTTAAGTGGCAATGGTTTTCTGAAGTACTCCTGAGCCCACGTGGCTATATTTAACACAGTAGCATGATGGTTTTTCATGCACTGCCATCTGAGGGTTTGAAGGTTACACACGTTCAACAGAGGTTTCCTGCCTTTCCCTATATGGACTGAGATTTTGTCAGATTCCCTACGGTAAGGTAGATGTTGAAAGACCTCAATCCATTGCAATCTTGCATTGAGAAATATTTTTCAATGGTTCTTATTAAGTTTGGCACAAAGTGGTAAGCCACAACCCATCTTTGAAGATTTTGGTGGATGCTTGTTTTTTTTTATATACCCAATCATGATACCCTCACCTATTACCAATTTACAGCTTACTGTGGAATGTTTCAAAACAGTTGAAACATGAAAATTCTATAAACTTTTCACTTTTGTTTTGACTCTGTCCCAACTGTTTTTTGAAAACCGTTACTTTGTAGTTTTACTACAAAGAAGTGTTACTTTGTATTTCACTTCATAAATGTGAAAGAAAATTAACAAATCACAGTTTCTTGGTTTTATTCTTGTTTTACAAAAATGTCCTGACTTTTTTGGAAATGGGTTTGTAGTTTACAGTTTAAGTTTGAATTTATTTACAGTTAGAAATTTTAGTGCTTCAACGTAATCTTATTTCAGTTCTTAATTTGTGAATATTTATATTTTTCAGCTTTATTTAAAAAAACTTTTAGTATTAGTTAATGATCATAAAACTGTTTTCATCATGCAGTATCTACTCAAAATGTTCAAAACACATTGGGTAGAAATGTACTGAATACACCTTCAACACTGTGATCAACAAGTTTGCATGTGTGTGGACATTAGCTGTTTGCTTTTTTTGTATGTAACTTGCCTATTGTTTTGTTGTTACATTTTTGGCTACAGATCTCATGCTATTGTATACACCCTACTCCGATTCTAAGACCCATTTCCTGACTTTATCATCACAGCTGTCACGAATAGCACAGTCAAACTAATTTTCAAGTTATTATTAATTTATTCAAAGTCCCAGAGGAAAATTTTATTGTGTAGCAGTTCAGAAATTTGACTTGCTTTCATACTAATATAGCGCACTTCATTTCTGGTCACCACACTCCTAGGCAGATTTCTAAATAGGAACATGAGTATAAAAGCAGGGCCTAATGCAGGAGCTTTAGGAGGTTGGGCTAAACCAAACACACGTCCCCTGATCAAATCATCACAAACTGTGTAAGACTAGATGGCTTTCCACTGAGCATAAGTTACACTCTGCTCAACTGTATACTAATTCACTTTAATGATCTTTAATTTCCAATTACTGTATATTCTGTTTTGATTTGTACAGCATGGTTACAGAATATGCCCAGATGGTGTACATTAAAAATTAAAACTCTTCTTACTACTATTTCCCTGGTCATTCAAAAATTACAGACTTCACTTTTCAATAAAGTTTTTATGGCTAAACTAACAACATCTGGCATCTTTACCAACAGCTCTGTTTTTTTTTTTTTTTTTTTTTGTTTACTGTGACTACATTGCTTCAGTTACTTTAATGCGAGCCGTACCTTCTATCGACTTGGATGGCTGAACATCCTGGTTGAAGATTTGCTCAGTGTGTTTGAGAATGAACTCCACAACTGACTGCTGGACCCGCACCTCCAGAAATGCTATATCACCATTGCAGGAGGGCACCTCTACCTCCTTGGAGCTATACCAAAACAAAAAGAGAGCACTTAGAAAATGATTTAAAGTTGTAGATAAAATAATAAATTTTTGTGAGGAATTATAGCATGTAGCATGAATGCCTTTAAAGAAAATATCCCATTCATCATCAATAATCAGCAACAGATAAGTATAATAATAGCATGAATATAACAACTTCATAATTGTATATAATTTGACCTTTTGCAAGTTCACTGTAGACTTCACATACAGTATAACCAATTATATGACTAAAATCATGTTTGAGAAGAGAATTATGAAGACAATGGATCAATAAATGGACAACTGGTTTATAAAATGAAAGTAAAAACATTGCAAAACTCACCGAAGTAGATTTGGAGCCCACACCAGGGCAAGATTGCGAGAATGCATGTTGGTTTGGTGACTGAGGGTAGCTAAATGTGCCAAGTGTTTGGTGAGGTATTCCAGAGTTCTATAGTCAGACAGACAGACATATAGACAGATAGATAGATAGATAGATAAATAGATAGAAACAAATCCTTTAATATTTAATCTTATTACTTCAGAGTAATTCTAAATTCACATCATTTCTTCATTTCAGGTAAGATTAGTTAATGTAGTTGCTTTGACTTAATATTTTTATTACAATAAATTTCAACCATTTCAACCCAAATTTAAGATCTTAGTCATTAACACTTAGACATTTATTTAGTCATTTAGCAGACACTTTTATCTGAAATCAACTTACAAATGAGGACAATGGAAGCAATCAAAATCAATAAAAGAGCAATGATATGCAAGTGCTATAACAAGTCTCAGTTAGTACACGTAGCAAGGTTGTTTTTTTTATTAAATAATAAATAAAAAGAAACAGATAGAATAGAAAAAGAATAGAGCATGCTAGTGTTAGAGGCCTTTTTGCTTTTGTTAATTGTATAATAAATAAAAAGAAAAGAAATAGATAGATAGAATACAAAAAGAATAGAGAAGCTAATGTTAGTTTTTTGTTTGTTTTTAAGAAAGCAAGTAGTTAGTAAATAAATAGAGTGCAAGTCTAAAAGGGGCAAGTTTTTTTTTTTTTTAAAGAATAGAATTATAATAGAGAGAGCTAGAGTTAGAGGGTCAAATAAAGATGGACGAGATTTTAGTTTTTAGCCGATTCTTGAAGATGGCTAAGGAATCAGCTGCTCGGATTGAGTTGGGCAGGTCATTCCACCAGGAGGGAACATTTAATTTAAAAGTCTGAAAGTGATTTTGTGCCTCTTTGGGATGGCACTATAAAGCGCTGTTCACTTGCAGAACGCAAGCTTCTAGAGGGCACATAAGTCTGAATTAATGAATTTAGGTAAAGGGGTGAAGAGCCAGTGGTGGTTTTGTAGGCAAACATCAATGCTTTGAATTTTATGCGAGCAGCTATTGGTAGCCAGTGCAAATTGATAAACAGAGGTGTGACGTGCATTCTTTTTAACAGACTGAAATGTAAGTCATTATACAGTAATAATCTTCCCCTGCAGAACCGGATCAGACTAATTTGTGAATGATTCGTTCAGGGGTTCATTTCATCACTAGCCAACTATAAACTGTTGTTTGAAGTTGCATTGTTTCCATCATTTTTCCTGAAATCACAGTTCCAATGAACATTTGCAAACAGCATGTGTTGTGTGGTTGGAACTAGAGCTCTCGACCTGTGGTTGGAAGCATAGTTTCTGGTCAGCATGAACATGTGGTATAACATCTGTTAGTTTGTCAAGAGAATGAAAGCACTGTTTTTGAGGAGTGTGCATGTGCTCTTAATAGATGGATGGATGGATGGGTGGGTGGATGGATGGATGGATAGATAGATAGATAGATGCTTCAAACTTTTACCATTTGTGTTCCACGATAGAAAGTAAATCATGGGAGTGACATGGAATGGCATGTGAGTAAATAAAGAAAGATAAAGTTTACTGAATAAAGCCACAGAAGAAAATAACCTCAGTAATGTCAGCTGTACCTCAAGTGTGAAACAGGAAGTTCTTTTATGACACTCCTGATGTTTCGGAGTTGCTCCTGCTCCTCTTTAACTGACATTGCATCCTTTGAACGAAAATATAAATGGAGGATCGTTAATTCCTGGATCCATGGGTACATTTTCTTTTAATGTTTTTAATGTATGTCTATGGATCACTATGGTCACTACAGATTACCTGGAAGCTAATAACTGTCTTAAGCATGGAAGATGGTGGTTGTAGTGGTCCAGATGGAGCTAATCTTAAACTTGTTTACTATTATTTGTACAACTACAGGAAACACCTCAGTTTTATTCAGAGGCTCAAGCATAGCAAAAATAGGCAATTTGGTGCAAATGCTGATATTTATATGACCAAAATGTAAAATGAAATTGTGATAGCATGTAATGTAAATCAGTGAGATCTTTATAACAGTATAACAGACTACTTACATAAAATGCACATAAATATCAGTTATTACTAAATATTTCCCAATAATATGTCTTAGTAAGATGATACTTAAATCTGTAGTAAAATAAATTAATATACAAATAATCTGAGGGGGGATTAAAAATAACTTTTTAAAAAATCTTTTTAAGCAACTTTTTATTTTAAATGCTAGGCTATTGTATTATATGCAATCTGTTATTCTGCTATTCTAGTCTAGTCTAGCCCATCCCTTTTTTTATCTTACAAACTTACTGTAAATTTTTTGTAGAGTTCATAGGTGAGGAGAGGGTTGGGGAGCTCTCTGAAGTACAGCTTACATAAAGAGCCCACGCAGTGGATATCCTGAAGATACACTTCTTTAGTGAGGTCAGGAGAGGATTCAGAGCAGAACTCCTGTCTGTATGCACACACATAGATACACACATTAACTACAAAGAAATTATTGTATAAATTATTCTGCAACATTTTGGCAAACTTGTGTTGAGAGTAAGGGCTAGAGACTACTACAAGATCAAAACAGAGTGTGGAGCTAGGTTTTACAGCTAGGTTTTGCCAGGTGTGCTTAGCAAAATAATCCAACATTACGTCAATGTACAGGAAACGCACCAAAGGTTATTATTTCAATGGTTTCATTATGATCCGACAAACGACCGAGAAGCATTTGGCTAAAGTACAGGTAGTTTATGTTTGGTATATTGTTGTACTTTGCAAGTCCCAATGAATGTAAGGAGATCTTTTATTTGATGCACTGAATGTGAATGGTTTGGAGTTTGATCATCAGTTCCATAGCATAACTTCTCAATAAGCCCGTTTCCACCGCAGGAACTTTCCCCAGGACCTAGGGACTCGGTGTGTTTCCACCGTGGGAACCAGAATCGAAATAAAGTTCCAGGTAAAAATTTTCCCCTCAGAAAGTCCCTGCTCGCGAGGTAGTACTTTTTCAAAGGTCCGGAACTTTTGGGGGCGGGACTTGGGCGCTGAACATGCTGATTGGTTGAGTTCATGCAGCGTTGTATTTCAACCACCATTTATTCACATCATTTTCAAAATATTACTGTTATTGTGTCATGAAATGTAGTTTTAAGAGTATTTCAGGCGAGAATGTAGTTGTTTAAAAGTCAAATCTACGGTTTATTTATAAAGACAGCATCTATTTGAAAATGTGCTTCGCAGATGCGCTTCACATGTGTTCACAAATGTGCTTCACATCTTTGAAGATGTGAGCTCCAGGCGATCAGTGGGCGCTCTGTGTTCATGTATCACACAGAGAGCAGCCTTAACTCGGCTAGTTCTTGTGACATTTGCCACTGGCTCTGATGGCTCTGTAGTGGTTAAACATGAGACTCGTTTTGGGTAAATCTAACAGGCAGTCTTTGGTCTCATGAATCTATTATTTGTAGGGTTGGGTACCGAAACCCGGTACCAATATGGCACCGGTACCTATGTAACCAGTATGTACTAAAACCGAATCAGAATGCAGATTTCGGTGCCTCATTTCAGTGCCATGCCTGAGCGATCGATTTAAATATTTGTCCTCTGGTTCTCCGTAACGGACATAACAAGCATCATCACCGGCACCGCACGTGAAAAATAATTTCCTGACTGAGAAAATGCACGTGAACTCAAAGCTCTAATAATACAAATCTTTGTAGTAATGAGAGTGTCCATGTTGTTTTCACATTCCGACTTAAAAGCACAACTCGGGGAATGAGAGCATCCGAGGAGCGCGTGAATGCAGTAATTACACTTGCTCTGATGGCAGCAGCTTCCGTTAAAGGGGTCACGAAAAAATACAAAGTAAAGAGTTAACTAGAATAATCAAATGTCAGAATAATTAGAGACCGACAAACAACCAATTTGCCTTTCAACCTAAATTCGAGGTAATACTAAAATGGAGTCAGATTAGATACTAAAATGGAGTCAAATTTGAGTTAATTCCCTTGTATTCACATTTCTACACCTGTTGTCCAACAAAAGAGAACATTATAACCTTTTTACTCCACAACACCAGTCAAATGCTTCCTTTTGTGATCTGATGTGGCTTTTTGTCACAGAATGAGGCAGAAAATATGTTCCATAGGCTAATTTATGTGGATTTTCTGTGCGAGGGTGCCCTCTGGCGTCCAGTATGAATGAAACAGACATCATGTGTTTATAGTGCTAATGGTCAATCCATCATTTTTGGGGGATTTTGTTTTTATATAAGTACCAGTTCAGGCACCGTTTAGGCACTGGAACCATTTTAAAAGTATCGATTTGGCACCGGTATCGGAAAAAACCCAATCGATACCCAACCCTAATTATTTGTTCCAGGTCATATTATTTTGGCTGAGTACAAAGTTATGTTTAATAACTTTATATATTTATATATAAATGTATATATATTTATAACTTTATTCAAATGAAAACGAAAAGAGGCAGTGGTTTTTGCTTTCATATTTCGTCTTATTGTAAATTCAGTGAGGAAAATTGCAGTAGCCAAGGTGAGCTGACTGACGTTATCAAGTACGCTGCTGTTCCATTTGCAGAATTACCGGACTTGCGTCGTCCCATCCCCGGGAGTTCACACTCCCGAGTTGAACTTGCGAAGTCCGAACTAGCAAGGATGCAAGTCCGAAATTTGCATACTTGGTATTTGGAAACGGCCCTGGACTGGGAGTGATCTGGCCCAATTTTGGTGAAGACTCGATGACCTTTATGAAAAAGTATTTTTTTATGAAAATTTAAAAAGACTGCTTTCTAACTGTGCAAAATTTCACAAATCCAGTTGCAACTGACTTACATTTACAATTGGCATACAAGAATAGCCTATATAGCTATACACAATTAATATGTATAAGATATCTCAGATTATTTGGAAGCATTTGGGGAACAGTATTTCATAATACAGAGTAATATAGAACAGAGTTCATAATGAAATCTGTAACTGTTGATTATAGAATCTGAGCACAGTTGTTGAAAAACTTTAGATGAGACACATTTGAGATTGTCTTTGTGTGACAATTGAAAAAGAAAAGGACAATAAAAACCAAATCCCTTTACCCGAAAGGTAATACTTTGAAGCAAATATAAATTTTATGTACCCAGGAGCAAAAGAAAGACTTATAACTACCGAAAATTTTTAACTTCTTTTCTATGATATTTCTTAAAGTTCCGTATCATACAGAAAGTTATCAATTGTTATATATTATCGCAAAATATGAAACATATTTACTAAAGTCTGTGTTCTTTGTGCATTAACCTTTTAAATAATATGTATGTGCATTTCTGTTCTCTCTTTGCAACAGTAGTGTTTCATGTAGACTACAGTACTATTACACCGTCCTTCCTTTATCCTGTCAGGCCGCTTATTGTGGAGAAGGTGGGCCAGGGCAGGAAGTTAAAAATGGTTTGTTTGTTTCAGAGGAAACCTGACACACCCAGGCTTTGCAGCTGGTATTACTTATGACACTTCCTCTTATTCTAAAAGGCCTTTGGAAAGTTCCCACCCAACTTCATCACTTCCTTACCATACCTTCAGCCATGATATCTTTAAGCTTTAGATTTATTTGTTATTTATGTTTAGGTTTAGACATAATCACAATGAGCTATCGTTTTTAAGGTATTTCACAACAGCCTATACATTGTTAACCCTGATGTTTATCACTTTAAATTAGCCTACTTGCTTCTTTCTACCATGGAAAACATATGAAGAAATTGCATTCCATGCCATGAAACTAAAGAAAACAAAGGAAAACGGACTATTTGAGCTTAGGGCCTCACTGTATACGGTATAATGTACATCCATCCATCAATCCATTTTCCAATCAGCTTATTTCCCCTAATCAAACACGGTGATGTCAGTAGTTTCTCTGGTAAAGCTGTGTCATGACATCACAGCATGTAAGGACCAATGAGGTCTGATGTTATCAATGCAATGTCATTTGATTTGATTTTAAAGCGAATAATCGAATATTGACCTGTTCGTCATACAAAGTAATTTTATCAATTCAGAAACCATTGGAGCTGTATGGATTACTTTAGCGCTACCCTTGTGTCCTTTTTGGACCTCGAAACTTTAGACCCTATTGACTTTCACTGTATGGACAAAAACAGATATTTGTGATTACATTTTTTTTTTTTTTGCAGAAATATTCCTTTAAATTAAAGAGATTAATTTAGGATACATTGGCACAATTTATTTTATTTTTATTTTTTTTGAGGGGGTTGGGGGGTTCCATTTTTTGTGGAACTCTGTTGGAAGAGTATGGAAGAGTAATTCTTAGCCACTGTTGAATTAAATTTCACCCATTTTTACTATTATCAATTATTATTATTGTATTATCATCTTGCCTACTTGAGCACTATATATCAGAGCATGTGCACTAAACACTAGGCCACAGCAGATACTTACTTTTAGTATTTTATTGGAGATGTTCAATAAAATTTTGCTCTCATAAAATGTTACTGGATTTCAGAAAAGAGTGTTTCTCTTGCTTGGTAGATGTGGACATGTACAGTAAATAGAGTAGTAGTCTCAATTCTAAATTACCAGGCACCACTGAGTCGTAGTCCATTTGCAAAAGAAATGAAAGTAGGTTAATATAACTGCTTCACTATAAAAAAAATTATTCCTACTAATTTGAAGTAATGAAATAGCCCTCTCGCTGTAGGAAACAACATTGGAAGCACATTATTTTACAGTCCTGTACTGCATGTACATATTATGTACTTATTATAGCTTTTACAATAACTGGGTAATAATTAGGCACTAACCCGAAAATTACCCCTAAACCTAACCCTACCTCATGTAGTTACCTTATACTACCCAGTATTTTCTTGGATAAAACACTGCAAGTACACATACTGTAAAATAAAGGTTTACACTTTATTTTAAGGTGTCCTTGTTACAGTGTAATTATACATTTAAGTACGGACTAATATTAATTAACTACATGTGCTTTCTATATGGCTAGGGTTAGGATTAGGGTTTGTCTTAGGGTTACTTGCATGTAACTATGCATAATTTATTGTTATTATAATAGTAAGTACATGTAACGTGTAACAAGGACACCTTAAAATAAAGTGTTACCAAATAAAGTGTAACCAAAACATTAGCAGTCAGCGCCTCTGAACCAATAAACCATCCAGAATCTGAGGAAGTCTACCCTTATTAGGCCCAATCCCAATTCTACCCCTTAGCCCTTCCCCTTTCCCCTACCCCTCCGTTTCGCGCGTTCACGTGAAGGGTTAGGGGTGTTTCGATTCTCTTTTGGTTGGAGGGGCAGGGGTAAGGGGAAGAGCCAGATAGCCCTTCAAACGAAGATTTTTCGGGACC